GTACAAACCATCACCTGTCTCTATGAATGTCCACACAACAAAAGCAACATGAGGATATGTCAGGCTTCTTCTCACTTTACACGATGGACTAAATTTATTATGGTTCATAGACAATAATTGTTGAGGCCAGAAAATGGTCTTCTGGCCCCTTTAGATGCTCATTCCAGCTCCCCACTCACTTTGCTAGGAATGGTTTTGAGGACATGTTAGAAAAGAGAGAAAATGCATTTAATTCAACTGCTATTGGGAGGGTTGTGGGCTTAGAGCCATCAGGGGCTGAAGAAAGACTGTTCAGATGAAGATTTGCCCCAAAGCCTTACTGTTCAGTGTGTTCATCTCACGGATGAAAAATTAGGGGAAAACCTGACTGAACACATCTCCCATTGCTTTTGAAAAAAGGAACCTCAAAGAGCAGACACAAACACAATCTCAATCCTTTTATTTTGCACATGGGTAATTTGAAGCCCAGAGAGGAGACATTCCATGCCTGATCTAAGACTAGAATTCTCACTATTTGAAGTTCAGTATTTTCCTGGCATAGAATAGACCAAATGATTGCACCATATTTGAGCAATCAGTGAACAGGTTATATTAACTCCAGTAACAATGCAGGTGTCACTTAGCTTAAACCTAACTTTATAGTTGTTTCTGTGGTTAACGAAACTAGCCACAGCCTATGTCCAAAATTTATCCAAATTCCTATGGTTTTTAATTTCTAGTTCCCCTTCCTCTCAGATCACGACTGTATGTTTGATACAAGGCCATGTATGTATTGCTTCCCCTRCGACTTCCAAACTGATACCATTAACAAGACTCAGGAAACAACTAAAAGATATATAATGATAGAAAACCAGATATGTGGGGCTGGGGTCATGGCTCAGCGGTAGAGTGCTTGCCTAGCATGTGAGAGACACTGGGTTCAATCCTCAGCACCACATAAAAATAAATAAAAAATAAAGGTATTGTGTCCAACTACAACTAAATATATATATAATTTAATATTAATTTTTGTTGAATAAAACTGTACTTTCATGATCATGATGGTGGTGATGATGATGACTGATAGTACTGATATTGATGATGCTTTCCCACAGTGGGATACTGACTTGGGTTTGTGACTCCAAAGACTGGATTATATTCTTAACCACCTAATTAGAGATGATAGAAAACCAGATATGGGGGCTGGGTTGAGGATGTTAAGGCTTTGGGGTGTGTATTTTGTATCTGGAGAAACAATCTCTGCTACAATCTTCTTCCTTGATGTTCTTTTTTTTTTTTTTAAAGAGAGAGTGAGAGAGGAGAGACAGAGAGAGAGAAATTTTAATATTTATTTTTTAGTTCTCGGCGGACACAACATCTTTGTTGGTATGTGGTGCTGAGGATCGAACCCGGGCCGCACGCATGCCAGGCGAGCGCGCTACCGCTGAGCCACATCTCCAGCCCCATTCCTTGATGTTCTGCCTCACCTGGAGCCCCAAGGAATGGAGCCAGCCTTCTACTGACTAAGACCTCTGAAACAGTGAGACCTCAAATAAATTTTCCTTCTCTACAATTGTTCTGGTTGGGTCTTTTAGTCACAGCAGCAAAAAACTGACTAAATAATCACTTAGGATTTTCAGTTGCCAAGTCACATATCTGAGAGCTTTGAAGGACGTTTCCATAAAAAAATAAAATAAATAAAAATATATATTCCTTTTTTTCTTTTTGGTACAGGGGATTGTGCTCAGAGGCACTCAAACACTGAGCCACATCCCCAGGACTATCTCATATTTTATTTAGAGACAGGGTCTCACTGAGTTGCCTAGTGCCTCGCTTTTGCTGAGGCTGGCTTTAAACTTGCAATCTTCCTGCCTCAGCCTCCCAAACTGCTGGGATTACAGAGGTATGCCACCACACCCTGGCTTAAAAGTATATATTCTAAACAACTAATGTGAAATCTGAGATCAAAATAATAAAAAGATATGGAACCACAAGTACTTAATAGAACTGGGGTCCAAACTCAAATAAATATCTTGGGCAAACAGTCTAGACATTTAATCTTTCTTCTTATTGTTAGAATAACAATAGAAATAATAAACATATTAATCACTATTTACATTGTAACAGGGGTTCATTTTATAACCCTTTCTGCTCTGCCACTGCAACTTATTTTTAAAATGGACAGGTTTCCTTCTCTTCCTTTCTCTCTGCTCTTCCCTAACCTCTCCTGCCGCAGTCTTGGCTGGGCACAGAATCACGAGCCACCACACACCTTGTAGATTCAAACAGCAATTCTTTATTCCCGAACTCACACCGGCCTCTACACAAACACGTTCTGGGGAAATCCAAGTTCTGCCCGCACAATTCACGTCCCAAATACTTTCTGAATTYCACGAGAAYTCAAGGGGAACTCAGGCAGCAGGAACGCCCTATTCCCAGCAGCAATAACCTTAAACCTGGAACTTCCCTAAACCCAGATTGTCTTAAASCGGGAACGCCTTAAACCCAAATTATCCTAAACCAGGATACTTCCTAAAACCTGCAGGATACACCCTAAACCTGGATCCACCCTCGTCCTTGAGCAGGGTCACCTTTCTCAAACACACGTGCAATGTCACAGCAAATTTCCAAGGCAAGTCCATTTAACATGGGGTACACTGGCAAGGAAATTTCGATGTGTCATTCCTACTTGGCAATGGCCCTCAGCACTCTCCCTCTCCCTAATCTCTGGGGAAACAGGGTTACCTTTCTTCCTCATCSCAGGCAGAGTTATCTGTCTCTGAGTGATTTACCAAAAGTGCTCAGCCCAGTGCCTTAGCCATGGTAAGCATGCAATAAATGTTAACATTGTTACTGCCATTATTCCAATCCCAAATGGAAGGAAGGAAGTAATCCAGACTTTGAGAATGGTACCAGAAGATCTCAGAAATTACTGTCTCCCAAATTAACAAGTGAATCACAACTCCAGACAGAGAACATGAGAAATGAAGCCTTTGAGTCTTCAAAATCCCCTGTTCCTGCTGATGGACAGAATCACAGCCTTTGGGACCTTGTGTTTCTCCTTTGCTAGCAAAGCAATAAACCTTTCCTTTTTCTCAAAACCGTGTTCTTGTTATTAGATTGGCACAGGGACAAGGACAGAGCTTTTAGCAAATATGACAGGCAGGTGCTAAGCACTTTTTTTGCATTCTTAATTCCCATCTCAATTCCATAAAATGTATGCATCATTGTCCCAACTGAGAATCAGAGATGAAGAATCAAATGATAGGAATGTGATTTGAATTCAAGTTTGAGGGGTTTTAATTGTTTTGTTTGCAGTGCTGGGGATTGAACTCAGAGCCTGGCACATGCTAGGCAAGAGCTCTACCACTAAGCTACATCCTCAACCCTCAGGTTCTGAGTTCTTAATCATTATGCTTCAAAGGGTAGTTGTGAATACTAAGGTTAAATTTAAAACAATAAATAAAGCACCTTACAAAGTTCCAGCATTTTATAGTTGCTCCATAAATAGTAATTTATGTCCTGTTGGTCCTTCTTCACATCCCTTGTTTTATTATCTATGTCTTACTCTGTTTTGTGTTGTTCTGACAAAATACCTGAGGCTGGGTTATTCAGAAAAAGAGATTCATTTAGCCTTTAGTTCTGGAAACAGAAGTTCTGGTGAAGACCTCATAATGCCTATAACATGGTGGATGGCATCACACAGTAGAAGGCTCTGGGAGAGTGGCAAGTGGGCGAATGTGGAAGAGACCAGAACACCAGGGTAATCTTGCTTTATAACAACCAGCTCTCAGGTAACKAATCAAGTCCTACCAGATCCAACACACTTCCATACCATCTTATCCAGTCCCTGGAGAAAGACATTAATCCTCTCAGGAGGCATGAACCASAGCCTAATCTCCAAAAGGCCCCACCTTCTGATGTTACTGTGTTGAGAAATTAAGGCTGGGGCACACCACTTCCAAACCATAACAATCCACAAGGAAGGGACAGTAAGGCTCTTTGACAAAAGGGCTTCGTTGCCCTGACAAGCTCAATCTTCTGTTGTCAACTCTCAAACCATCTATTGTCAAAGTCGCTGAATTCCTGGCTATCTGAGAGACAGAGTGCAAAGGAAGCTAGAAGAATCCCAATATCTTCTCTTCCCTTTCCAGCGGGTGGCTTAAACACTAGGAGGCATAGGGAAAGSGTGTCCTGACTTGGCTGTAATTACTAGAGCACCTATTTTTTTTTTTTTCTGGAAGTCAGTTTCCCCTTTGTAACAAGGAGCTGGGCTGGAGAGCCCCTTAAAGAAACATGCAACAATGGCAAAAAACCTGCAGGTGCTTTAACTTCCCAGCTCTGGACCCATCTAAAAAAGGGAATGTAAAATTAATAACTATGATCCGTGGTTCAAAAGGCTGCTGAATGGCACAATAAGTAATTTACCAAAAGTGGTCAGCCAAGTGCCTTAGCCATGGTAAGCATGCCATAAATGTTAACATTGTTACTGCCATTATTTCAATCCCAACACTCAAGGTCTGTATTAARCCAGTGGATTTCTTTGGGAATAACTTTAACTCACGAACGTACGCAAGGGCAGGGAGCCCTGAATTTAGCGATTTCCAAGGCCCGGGGGCCAGCTTTCCTGACCAAAGGGGAAGCCTGCGACTGGCAGAACTGCCACAGCGGTCGCCACAGACTTCCCTTTCCGTACAGTGCTCGCAGCAGCTGCCGGGAGAGGTCGGAGCCAGGGCTTTCCCGCCGGCCCACCTCGAGCCCCATTGGCGGCCTCCTAGCTGGCGTGACCAAGGCTCCGCCCACTTCTGGCTGGGACCACTCTGAGGCGATCTCCGGAAGCGGCGGGGGCCGGGGAGAAGAGGCCGCGATGCATCCTGGGCTTTGTAGTCCGTCCGCGCCGCTGAGGCTGGGAAGCGGTGCCTCTCGACKCGGAGAACTACAACTCCCAGCAGCGCCGTGAACACTGGGGCAAAAGGGGGGTTCGCGTCACGTGGGTGCTCGGCCTGGGCGGGCTATTTCTCAGTGCAGCGGCGGCGGCTCGGGGGACCGGGGCCTTTTGTTCGGAGCGGCTGAGGGGGGCCCCGGAGCGGCGAGGCCSGCGGCCTTCCCCAGCGCGCTCGGTCCCGGTCGCCCCTCGCGGGGGTGGGGGGCCGCCTCCTGGGCCGGGCGTCGCCCCAGGCGCCGCTGCCCCGCCCTAGGCCCGCCCCGCCTGGCCTGAGGGGAGGAACCGGCCGGGCCTCGCGGCGCGGCCCTGCCAGCTCCGAAGTCGCTGCCGCTCTTCCCCGTGCTCCGGACCCGAGGCTTCCCCTCGCCCCTCAGGCCGACGCCATGAAGATCAAGGATGCCAAGAAACCCTGTAAGAACAGCTCTGGGGCCCGCCGGGTGGGGAGGGTGCCCCTGGGCCGCATCTGGAAGCCTCTCGACGGAGCGGCCTGCTTGCGAGCCCGGCGCTGCGAGCCCGCGCCCAGGCGGGAGCGCCGCGGAGTGACCACTGCAGCCCGGGCTTYGAGGCGGCGGCCCCCTGCTCCCCTGTGCACGCTTGGCGAGCGCCAACCGGCTCAGCCCTTTCCGCCACTTCCTCCTCGACGTCTGAGAGCGTGCAGGAGGGAGTTTTTGATTCGGGTTTTGTCATACGAACTGCSGTCCCCTGTTGCAGCTTGAAATCCGGTTGGAACGAGGTGGCCGTGGATATCAGCGAGGAGCAATTACCAACCTCTCCCCCAACCCCCTCTGGCTTCCGGGCTTCTTGTGTCCTTGAAATCCGGGTGGGTTCCTGGGAGTTGTTAACTGTTGCAATTGGATCTTTTAACCATTTGAGCATGTAAGCTGCCAATGGGCAAATTGTCTCTCGGCTCTTTTTTTATTTAGAATACCAACTAGTTAATGTTTGTTTTAGAAAACCTAGGTAAGCAAAAAAGAAGACTAAAAACACCCAAATTTCCATCACCTGGAGCAAACCACTATTAATGTTATGGTGAATGACCGCGAGGATTTTTCGTTAATCGTGTATGCATGTACTTTTAAAAAACAATTCTTAACTGTGCTGTTAAAAAAAAAAAAAAGCCAGTCAGGGCTGGGGTTGTGGCTCAGAGGTAGAGTGCTTGCCTGGCATGTGTGAGGTACTGGGTTCAATCCTCAGCACCACATAAAAATAAAATAAAGATTTTAAAAAAATACAAACTTTGGGATCATTGGTTTATAAAAAAAGCCAATCAACTTTCAATTTCTTTCATTTGCTTTTTATCTTTTTAAAAYCCTTTTATTTATATAATTGTCTATTTAATCTCTCAGCCATTATGATTCTCATTTTCATTCTCCCAGAACAAGTAGGAATGTTGGGATTCATGCTTTTACTTTAGAATTATATTGTCATTTTGTAATTTTTACAGTTTCATGTGATCCTCCCAAATGTTTTAAGAAATATCCAGCTGTAAAAAAAAAGGGGGGGGGTGGACACTACTAATTTTCATGCCTTCATTGTCCCCAGGGTTCTTGTAAACCTCACAGGACAAGCCAGTCTGTCAGTGCACCCTGAAAACGAATTGTTATTCAAATGAGAGATGATTTGGTCTTAATGTTACAGATGCATGAACTTATTTAGCCTCCAGAGTAACTTTTCCAAGGCTCCTCCAACCAACCTTTGCTAATGAGGTCCAGAATCCATTGCTGGCTCAAAGTTCAGTGTTCTTTCTCCAGCACCCATAGGGCCATAGTCTGAATATTTGAGACAATACAATTCTTATCTGATAGCTTTTCTGCTAATAAATTTCTTTTTTCATGATGATTTCTGATAATAGCTGAATTCTTGTGTATTGTTCAAGGAGTCTAGTGATTTGAAGGCTCAAATGACAATGTAGAAACACTGGTAGTTTACAGTTGCTGAATTAAACTAAGACATCCAACAGATGCAGTAACTTGGACATCTTCCCTTAACGTACACTTTTTCTCTCATCTTAGAATTTCCATTTAGTGRAGTTGTATGACATTCATATTCTGAGTTGTCATCTTTGCCTTTGTTATGATAGTGATTTGATTGTGTATATTTAGGCAAACTAATTAGATACGAATACCATCTCTTTCAAAGAGATTGTAATGATTATTAAAAATTTTTAATTTTAGGTGAAGAAATAATACCTATTTTAAAATTAGGTCAATTATTACTACATGATATACTGAGATTTTTAATTTTTAAAAATAGAGATATGATGAAAAACTGATAAGTTAATATGTTTAAATGTTGAAAATTTGCAGTTTTTATATGGGTAAGAAGGTGCCTACTAAGTTCTTCAGAGTAAAAAGTAGAGCATCTAGTTTTAGGATGTGTGGGAAATAAAATACCTCAAACCCTTAACTGTCCTGAAAATATTTATAACCTAAGAGGTGTTATTCCTATTTTTTAAAAACAAGTTAATCATTGTTTTTCATCTTTTGAATACTTTTTTTTTTTTTAACTGACAGTCTGTGGAAGGCATTATTTTTCTTTGTATGCGTTAACACCTTTTAAACAAATGGCTTTGCATATTTTCTTATATCAATCCCTTAAGTATTAGAAAGCATTACTTTTAGATATGTCACCAGTCTACTACCAGGTTATAAACCAGATGCTTATCTTAACCAGATATTTTTTAAGGAAATTGGTTCATCATTTGGATTGTATAACTAAAAGAGTAGCATTTGAAATTATGTGTTACTTCAACCCCAGAAGGAGAGTCAGTCAGTTGTGTTCTTTTGTACCTTGACTGACATGATTTCTTTAAAAAAAAAAAAAAAAGAAATACTTTTTTTTAGTTGATGATGGACCTTTATTTATTTATTTTTTTATTTATATGTAGTGCTGAGAATCTAACCCAGTGCCTCACACATGCTAAGCAGGTGGCTTTACCACTGAGCTTCAACCCCAGCCCTTGACATGATTTCTTAAGATATAGATTTTTTCAATGTTTTACTTGTGTAGCTGGATTAACAAGATGATAGTAAAAAGGTGATGAATATATTTAAAGGCCATATAGTGTGGGTTTCGAATTGGTGCTCTGCTAACCCAGCTGATAAGGGCTTTAAAGTTTTTGTTAAGCACAAAGAATTGTACAACATATATATGCAGTCTGCTTCTATATAATTTTACTTGTTTGTAAGTTTGGTTAAGAATTGTTATTTCCAGTAGAATAAAATTATTTGGAGTTAATAGGTTCCAAAATGGCTATCTTAGAAATAAGTAATTTACTTAAAAAAATTACTCAAAGTTTTACTAAGGAATCTTAATACTGAAGGTTTGAGAAGTTGGGTGTTTTCTTAGTCTCTCACAAAACGCTGCAGTTTTCATCAGCAGTGATTGTTAAGTGTGAAACATCTCTGGGGCTGGGATTGTGGCTCAGCAGTAGAGCGCTCACCTAGCACATGTGAGGCCCTGGGTTCAAGATCTCAGCCACACATAAAATAAATCAATATATTGTGTCCAATTAAAAATAAATATTTTTTAAAAAGAGTGAAACATCTTTTATCTTAAGAACTCAAAGCATATCTGAAATTTAYCAGATATRTCCATTTTAGAATTTTGTTCCTTAAAACACCCCATAATGATTTGAATATTTTTAGTATTTAGGTTCTCCTTATGTCTAAATTAAGTTTAAATTCTGTTTTGATATAGGATCCCTTTGGGCTGGATTCTGCATGGAATCAGTACTAGTTAAACAGCTCTTCAGTGCCTTTCCCCTACCTCCTTAATAAGATATCCAGAAGGAAATTAACAGTCTGTCCTTCTRGAGATGTCTTCTGTTTAATCATTTGAAAGGGTAATTGGGCATGCAAGTTTTTCCATTTTGTTTTTTTTTTTTGACATTAGGCACAGAGAAAAAAATCCATAATTATTGGTTTTTAATGTACTTTGAATTTTGAAAAAATCTATGGTATCTCACCAGGTAGAAAATATCTTATTACAAAATGTTCTTTATGTGGCAATAGTGATTTCCACCCCTCCAGTGAAATTTTATAGAATCAAGTGTCAATCAGAATTCATTTTTTCAGGGTGGGGGGTGTGCCGGGATTGAACTCAAGGGCTCTTGACCACTGAGCCACACCTCCAGCCTTATTTATTTATTTATTTGTTTGTTTGTTTTATTTAGAGATAGGGTCTCACTGAGTTGCTTAGCACCTCGCTAAATTATTGAGGCTGGCTTTGAACTCTAAATCCTCCTGCTTCAACCTCCTGAGCCACCGGGATTATAGGCATGGGCCACTGTGCACGGATAGAATTAATTTTGTTAGGTGATTTCAGAAAGATTCTGTTGTTTTACCCCATGCTTATTGGAAAGTGTCCTTATTACATCTATTTTCAACAGATTTGGGTCAATTCTGAAGGAATCTTCTCTGATTTATTGTATCAGTGTATCTGCTCTTGTTTTCTTTTGAGTGTGTGTTTCACAGCAAATTGGTGTAGATTTTCCCTTCTGTTGGTATTACTGTTTCCCACTACTGGTTATTGGAACAAAGAGTAGGGGCTAGGGTCAGGGAAGTGATCTGTAACTTCTTAATTTTTTTTTCTACCTCTGAGCTACACCTCTACTCTTTTAACATTTTTGAAATATTGAGACAGGGTCTCACTCAGTTGCCCAGTTGGGGACATCCAATGTGCAATTCTCCTTTCTTGTCCTCCCAAGTCACTGGTTTCATAGATTTGACCACTGCCACAGCACCCAACCTACATGACTTTCTTAAAGCAGAAATTCTAGATTTCATGAATAAACTGAAAACAAAACTTAGTGATACCACCTTTCTTTATACCTGTGGATACATTACTATATGGTTTCTGTAAATGCCTGCTGTTTATTTCCAGAGTGTGTTATTCATTTAAGATGGATTCCATCACTAGCAACTTTACAAAATTGGGAAAATTCAGTCAATTTCTTCTGCATATGTTGCTTATCTACACCAGTCTATATAGGTGATATAAAAAGTATTGTGCTTGTTTGGAATTTTGTTCCTCTATGCTTCCCAAGCATGTAAAGTCATTTTATTTTTAAAAAAGCCTTTTTTTGTGTGTGGTGGTGGTAGTGGGGATCGAACCCAGGGCCTTGTGCATGCAAGGCAAGCACTCTACCAACTGAGCTATATCCCCAAACAAAAAGACTTTCTTTTTTTGATTGTTTTTAATGTAGCTCTCAATTTTCGGTTTGGATTTCAAACAAAAAAACAAGCTTTTTCTCCAGAAGATAATGGGAATTATTTCTCACATTCAGAATCACTAATTTATTTGTTTTAGTTAATTATACATGGTAGTGTAATAATGCATTTGTGTACTTTGATATACATAGATGAGATATAATTTCTCATTTTTCTGAGTGTACATGTTATAGAATCACATTGGTCATGCAGTCACACATATACATAAAATAATAATGTGTGTTTTGTTATACTATCCTTCCTATCCCTACATACAAAAACATTAAAAAGATAATGCACCATGATCAAGGGAAGGGGTTTCATCCCAGGGATGGAGGGTTGGTTCAGCATACGAAAATCAAAAAGTGTAATCCATCATATTAATAGACTTAAAAACAAGAATTATGATCATCTCAGTAGATGCAGAAAAAAACCAGCACACCTTTATGTTTATGTTCAAAACTCTAGAAAACTAGAGATAGTAGCAACATACCTCAACATTGTAAAAGCTCTCTATTCTAAACCCAAGGACAGCAGCATTCTAAATGGAGAAAAATTCAAACCGTTTCCTCTAAAAACTGGAACAAGTCAAGGATGTTCTCTTTTACCACTTTTATTCAACATCATCCTTGAAACTCTAGCCAAAGCAATTAGTCTAATTTTAATAAATATAAATTTTAGAATACAGAAACATGTAAAATCCTCTAGTTAATCATTTTTCCTGTTTTCTAATGTTACATATGTATCAAGTAAGTAAAATGTATTTTTATTTTTAATTTTTTTTAAGAGAGGAAGAGGAGAGAATTTTTAAAAATATTTTTCAGTTTTTGATGGACACAACATCTTTTATTTTTATGTGGTGCTGAGGATCAATCCCAGCACCCCACACCTGCCAGGCGAGCGCGTTACCGCATGAGCCACATCACCAGCCCAGTAAAATGTATTTTAGAATTTTCTTTGACAACTTTCACATAAAACTGTTTAATATTTTGTTGTCAAGCATGTTGTGATCCATGTATCTTAGTTATTACATTATTTTTGATTCTCTATCATAGTGGTTGAGATACTAGAGAAAGCAGAAATAGACTTTTCTAGGGTGAAAACCTGTCTTTTTTTTTTTCATTACAATGTCTCTGTCACTTTATAAGTTTGACTTTAAGCAAGATTGTGATGTGAACACACTAGAACAACTTTATAATAGGGATGTTGAGGGTTGAATGAGCCCATACATACATTAGCATATTTATGACATATAATGAGTACTCAGTAAAGTCAACTCTAGTTTTTTATGGAAACTTAAAACAGTTGTGCTTTAAACAAAATATTACCTTGTACCTATATAAGGATCATGACTGATAAATGTGAGAAAATCACATTATAGAACTGAATGTCATAACATGAGGGATGAGGTGACCAAAACCAGTGATTCTCAAATGCTGTGTAGATCCAGCTAAAGCAGAGTCATTTATGAAATAATACCTAGGTAGGTTTTGTTCTACTAGATGTAAGATAACTTGGCCTCTCTTTCCAGCAACATCTTAAGTACCTCTTGTCTTTGCTACTTCCTGCCACTAAATAAGCTTTCTAATTTGTAGCTAGACAGTACTACTTTCCTGCTGAGAGTTCATGTATAGTCCCCTGAATTGTCCAGATTCAAGTCTAAGCTCCTTTGCCTAACCTGCGATGCCCTTTGTGATTGGGCCCTGTCTGTTGATCTTCAGTGTTCCTGATTACCTAACCATAAGGATGTTTGTGTTTGTGTGTGTGTGTGTGTGTGTGTGTGTGTGTGTGTGTGTTGCTGGGGATTGAACCCAAGGCCTTATGCATGCAAAACAAGCACTGTACCAACTGAGCTGTATCCCCAACCCTGATTACCTAACCATATTGAATTATGCCTATTTGCCTTTGGATAGACTGTTGTTATTGTTTTCATTCCTTTACATTTAAATAGAGGCATAGAATTTAGAATTCCTTCTGTTGGCCAATACTGTATATGTAACTTTATTTTGATTCTCTTGTGTRTTTGTATTTATATTCCTTTGCTAGATTAAACTCTCCTGGAGGGCAGGAAATTTTTCTTACTCATTTTACTTTTTTATTACCAGAGGTAGAGGAGCTACTTAATAATTATTTACTGAAGGGAATTGAGGAAAGTAATATTCAGAGATGTTAATAAATGGCTTTTCAGTGTTATATAGCCCAGTTAGTGAGAGCTCAGTTGCAGACCTGAATGATACTGTCTTAATGTACTTGTCCCTGAGTAGACTTGCCTTCAGCTTTATTAACCACATGTACCAGGGAAACTTAGTAACGCTCAATAAGCAAAGAAAAAGGTTTCTTTTTAAGAAAGCATATTTCCCATGAGTTATTTGACATGCTTATGGGCCAATTTTATTATACGAAAGTCTTTTAGAAACAGAAAGCTGTTCCAGCCTGAGGTGAGATGACCTATTTATTGAAACAAAATTAGTTCAGATTCTTCCTGTTTCCTGGGGCATGTGGTGAGTATTTGATAAATGAAAAGGAGTGCCTATCAGAGCAGGAATGAAAAGGCCCTTGGTCATCTCTAAGTATAAGATTTTAGAAAATTTACAAATAAAACTGAAGTTGAAAAGTGAGTTATATGTGGTAACATCATTTTTGACTGAATGCATGATTCAGGATAAATGAATTTTGTGACTGATTACTCTTTCCTAATTTGCATTTTTTGGTATCAAGGTATATATTTTTATTATTTTTTTAATTCACAGCTTTCCCATGGTTTGGCATGGACATTGGAGGAACTCTAGTAAAGCTCTCATATTTTGAACCTATTGATATCACAGCAGAGGAAGAACAAGAGGAAGTTGAGAGCTTAAAAAGTATTCGGAAATATTTGACTTCTAATGTAGCATATGGATCCACTGGCATTCGGGATGTACACCTTGAACTGAAGAATTTAACACTTTTTGGCCGAAGAGGGAACTTGCACTTTATCAGATTTCCAACCCATGACCTGCCTACTTTTATCCAAATGGGAAGAGACAAAAACTTCTCAACATTACAAACGGTGCTATGTGCTACAGGAGGTGGTGCTTACAAGTTTGAAGAAGATTTTCGCACAGTAAGTATCTATTACTCAAGAATATGATATTCTAGACCATACAGACAAGTAAATTCTAAGTAAAAGTTCAATACATTATAGTACTTTCTTTCCTAACCTTGAATGAATTTCAAAGACAWACTCAAACTATAATATAAAGACAGAAAATTATGGTGTTTTCATATCAGTATGAGAATAGGTGATATGATCATACCAGGGGACAAATGAAGTAGTTAGTGCTTGCATCYATATGTAGATTCATCATGAACAATACCAAAGATACAAATGCCAGATGGTTATGGTGTGTTTATTGGAGAGTCAACTCCATAAGTAGCATTGATTTTGGTGACATCATATTCCAATATACTGAATGACATTAAAATTCCAAACAGCAGAGGCACAGTTGAGCCTAGTGAATATTCCTTACCATGTGGAGAATTCTTTGGGTTTATACATATTAGGTAGGTAAGTGGATAAAATACTTTGTGCTTACATAGACCCAGGTAATCATAAATAGATTTTCCTACTGCCACCACAAAAATGTCTGGCAAAACAGTTAAAGAAAGTGCAGCAATGGGATGATTCTTCGTTTTTCTGCAGAACTGTTCTACCATTGCAATGTCTGGCTAAATATCAGTTTGGTGCCTGCCTTCTCCCCATCTTTTGAAAACTAAAATGCCCCCAGAGGTAATACTGCTCTCAACTGAGAGTCAAAGGATAAAAATCTGAGGAATTTTCACACTAAACTAACAAAAATAAATGAAAATATGGGGGTAATGGTAATGAAATTTTGTAGAGTATGTGAAAATTATACAGTATAGTCAAGTCAGATATTTTCAATGTTGTTTTTTTTTTTATTCAAATTTTTGTTAATTTTTTCACAGATTGGAAACCTCCACCTGCACAAACTGGATGAACTTGACTGCCTTGTAAAGGGCTTGTTGTATATAGATTCTGTCAGTTTCAATGGACAAGCAGAGTGCTATTATTTTGCTAATGCCTCAGAACCTGAACGATGCCAAAAGATGCCTTTTAACCTGGATGATCCCTATCCATTGCTGGTGGTGAACATTGGTTCAGGAGTCAGTATTTTAGCAGTCCACTCCAAAGATAACTACAAACGAGTGACTGGGACAAGGTAGCAACCTTTTTGGTCTTATTAAAGCAGCATTCATATATTCATATTGTTTTARTGTATGTTTGTGTGTTTGTGTGTGTTGAGGATCAAACCTAGGTTCTTGCACATGCTAATAATAAGCAAATGCACCATCACTGAGCTGTGCCCTTGATTGTGAAATCAGTATATTGATACTAGTTTCACCAGGGAAATTACATGTATTTGTGCAATAGCGAAACAAAATATGACATAAGTTAAAATGTTGGAGATAATATATTTTTATAAGGCTCAGTTAAAATTAAAATTTTTTTAAATGTTTATATTATTGGTCAGCATCAGTTGGCATCAAAATTTCCATAATGGTGACTGATTATTTTTTTCTTGTAATGATTCCAATAATGTTTTTTCCAGAGTTTAAAAGAAGCGCATTTGCTGGAAGTGACAATATATTTATATTTTGTTTTATTTTCCAGAGCATTTTTTTCCCTATTTTTCAGTTTTCTGTAGATACAATGTTAAGTCTAAACCTTGCTATGTGCTAAATAGATTTGCATTTAAACTACAGCATTGGCTGAGGCTGGCTTTGAACTTTYGATCCTCCTCCCAAGCCACTGGGATTACAGGCGTGCACCRCTGCGCCCAGCTAGTACTTTATTTTTTATGGTGGTTGAGGTTCAGCTCCAATGAAACTCTGCCAAAGTATCACAAGTATTTCCTATTTGGGGGGTTCCTCTGAAAGATAGAAATCCAATCTTTTAACTAACTTCAGTGGGATTCGGGTAGAACTTGCTAGAAATTTAGATGAAATTCGGGAGCAAAGATTTTGAGTTTAGAGAATAGGTATGACTTAATTTTGTGAGCATTTCCAAAAAATAATAGTACCAAGTAAATTTCTATCATTAGCATAATGACAAGCTAGACATAAATTTCCTCATGGTATTTGTGTTGGGGTCATGTTAGATGTTAATATGTCTCATAGCATACTGTATATATTCTTTTTTTTTTTCATTGTAGATGGACAAATACTTTATTTTGTTTATTTTTATGTGGTGCTAAGGATTGAACCCAGGGCCTTGTACATTCTAATCAAGCACTCTACCACTGAGCCACAACCCCAGCCCCTGTATATATTCTTAAGTAGCCATATATCCTAGCAATCTTTCTGTGTTGTATCAGAGTCTTATTTTGTACATGTGTAGGCTTTACCTATAAGATAAGTTCCCAAAAATAGGATTGCAAATGCTTTTTTGCAATATGGAGTGTATCCTCTGAATGAGTAGTACTGTTTTTCACCCTCACCAGCAATAGATCAAAGTGCCTTTGAATTGATTTCAGCCCTGTCTGGTAAGTAAATTTGCCTTCCACAAAATCATTTCTTGGAAACCATTTAAAACCAGTTTTTCTCTTTTAATTCATATTGTACTTTTTTTTTTTTTAACATTTATCTTTCAGTGCACACACAAATATATTTTTGGCAACTACAAAGTATTGAATGGCAAGAGATTTTTCCCTCTTTGGTTTTTTTTTTTTTTTTATCTGACAAGTTTGATTTTACTTATCAGTTTTTCTTGCTTTTATTCATTATGTTGATATTTTAGTACTTCAGTAAATGAATACTGTACTCTTTCACTTTGGAGAAAGAAACAGTATATAAATGCAACTTAGCAAATTTTCTTTATTCTCTTTAGCCTTGGAGGGGGTACCTTTCTGGGTTTATGCAGTTTACTGACTGGCTGTGAAAGTTTTGAAGAGGCCCTTGAAATGGCATCCAAAGGCGACAGCACCCAAGCTGACAAACTGGTCCGTGATATTTATGGAGGAGATTATGAAAGATTTGGTCTACCAGGTTGGACTGTTGCGTCTAGGTAAGTTTAATGCTTATGTTCTTCAAGTTGCTTATTTAGCTTTTGGAAAGCAGTAGTTTAAGGAATTGTAAGGGTGCTTTTTCTTACCCTGTTTAGGTTCCAAACTTTGAACATTGATGTAGCTTAAGAATTAAATGTACATTAAGAACTTTACCCTGAGTGCACCTAGTAAGAAATCACTTGTGTTTATTCTTAAGAATCCTTCCAGTATTGCTCTGTGCAAATACAAATATATATCCTCATCATCCTTTTCTTATTCAAAAGGTTGCACTATTATGGCTTGCTKCGTAAACTCTAAAGTAGCCAGAGGTCCTAGAAAACTCCCCATATCATATTGTCATGTTGYATACATGTAGGCTTATCTGTAAGATAAGTTCCTAGAAGTAGGAATGCAGATGCTTTTTTGCAGTCTGCAGAGTGCCCTCCACAGAAGCAGTACTGTTTCACTCTGACCTACAAGAGATCATAATGCCTATTCATTTTCCTTGTAGATTCCCCAGTAGTCTGTTGTCAAACTTCTGAATTTTTGCTAATCTAGTAAGAGAATTGGCACCTTAGAATAATTTTTACATTGCAATTCTCTTAGAGTAAGTGAGGTTAAGAATCTTACATGTTCTTTTCTGTGAGTGATTGTTCTTGTTCTGTTTTTCTGTTGGATTGTTACACAGTTGAATTTATCAGTCTTTTCTTTCATGGCTTCTGGATATTGATTCATAGTAAGTAAGTCTTCCGCATTCCAAATATATAAAGGAATAAACCCTTGTTTTCTTCTGGTACCTTAGTGGTATTATTTTTATATTTTGATCTTTGAATTAGTATAAATTTTTACTTATAATTTATAGTTTTACATGCAGTACAGATCCATTTTGCTTTTTTTCAGAAGGCCCTGACACCTAATAGTCCTTCTATTTATTCTGCTAATGTCAGAATATCATATACTGGCTTTTTTTTTTCCCCATTAAATCAGCACTATAAGATTCATAGAAACATAAAAATGGCTTTAATATYCAGAATGGCTGGTCGTCCACATTCCTTATTTAATTTTCCATGTGAACTTTATAATCATTCTCAATAGAAAAAATAAGAAAGCTTATTTTTTTATTTTTCTGGAATTTCATTACAGCTTATATATTATTAAGTTTGGGAAAAGTCTTATTTATGTATATAAGTTACATTTTAAATTTATTCCTAAATAATTTTTGTTTTCTCATCTGCCATTTTCATTTCCCATTATATTTTTTGAACTGGTTATTGCTTATACACTCCAAGTTTTTTGTCAGGGCATCCAGTGCCCTTTAGTGGTAGTCCTTAGTGGCTTCTATTACCTTGCACAAGTGACCGTCACTTTTGATTTCATAGATGTTTTTCAGATCTCATTTCTGTGTGCCTGTAACCTTTAATTGCCTCTGCCTAGGATTTTCCTTCTCTTTTTTTCTGGTTAATTTACTGTTCCTTTTACGATGGAAAATCTTCCCTCATGCCTTCTCAACTCTTTCTTCTTACCACAGTGATATAGGATCTTTTTTCCTTTGTGTTCTCAAGGTAGCCTGTGGTTTGGTTTTGCATATTTGTATTTTTCCTGTTAAAGTTAGTGCTTTTGTTGCTCTCTCGTCCTCTGTCTAGGCCTGCATTGTCCATATGATAACCTCTAACTTCACGTATWTCAAACCTTGGAGTTAGTGAGTGCCTCATGGTGAAATGACTATATATTTGGATATATTGACTTAAATAAAATATACCATCAAGATTAATTTCACCTGTTTGTTTTTACCTTTTTAAATATCACTAATAGAAAATATGAAGTTACATATGGCTCATATTTTATTTTATTGGATGTTGCTTGCACTAGAACCAAACTACTTCCTTTGTGTCCGTAGCCCAATGCTTGGTATGTCATAAATGCTTATTGTGATTAAATGAAATGGAATTTGACATTAAAGCTGAGATATTTTTGAAAACACTTTGAATTTTTAAAAGTAAGAATGTACTTTCCTATTTTTTATTGGCTTCCTAAAACAGTAGCCATTTAATTTCACTGTTATCCATTAAGTTTAAATKTAAATGATTTGGTAATCTTTGCTTCTTTGTAACAACTGTGTTTTTGTTTGTTTGTTTTTTCTTTTTTTAGACTTAATTTTAACCTTAAAAGATACTACTTTGGTTCTTCAGTAGGTTTGGGTGGGTTTTTGTTTGTTTTTTGTTTTTTGTTTGTTTTTTGTGGAGTTGGGGGTTAGGAGCATACTGGGGGTTGGATTTAGGGCCTCACACAGGCTAGGCTAGTAGTATAGTATATACTACTGAGCTACACCCCAACCTCCTTATGTAGATTTTTGTTAGTTAGTTTTTATCTTATGCCATCCCCAGTTAGTTTTTATCTTATCCCTATATGTTTTTACTCATTAGGTTCTAATGTTACAAAATTATGGAGATTATAGATACATATACTAATGTTGCTTGTTGGCAGTGGATTTAACCTTGTTTTTCATTTCTCTGCAGTTTTGGAAATATGATTTATAAGGAGAAGCGAGAATCTGTTAGTAARGAAGATCTGGCAAGAGCTACTTTAGTTACTATCACCAATAATATTGGCTCTGTGGCACGAATGTGTGCTCTTAATGAGGTAAAAAAAGAAGAAATTTTAAGTTTATGAAAAACATAAATTTGAGTTTTTTGTTCATCTAACAGATCTTCCTTTGTTTTCCTTAACAAGGCCTCTAGAATTGAGATATGTATTAAATCCCTAAACTCTAAATTAAATAATGTTATTTGCCCGATTGTTTTATTAACTTGAAAGACAGTTAATTGACAGATAATTCAGATTGAAGTAGAGCAAGTAAACAAATTACGTTTTATATTTACCCAAAAACCTTTTCAGAAATACACAGCCTAAATTTCCTGAGGATGAAAAAAAAAATCCTTGGACCTTTTGACGTAGCTAATTATTGATAGCATTTTTCTGCTGTTAACGTAGCATTCACCTAGAGAAGTCCTTGGATGCGTTCTTGCTGCCTTCGGCTTCTTTACAGTGCTGCCTTGTTGCATATGGATCAAGCAGCATTGTACAGGGCTATGAAGGCACCRAGACTTGTTCTTCATGTGGGAATGAGTGATATGAACTATTCGCTCTGTGACAAGGATATGCTGATAGGCCAGCCACATGGCTGGGGTGTTTTTATTTGGAAGAGAATAAGTATAATTCCACCATCATACAACATATATTTGCCCATTTAATTTTTACAAATGTCAGGTACTTCAAATGGATTGGAAACTTTTCTTCTTGAAGGAACTCTTCATTTGTTCATTCACCTATTTATTAATTGATTAAATACTTATAAAATACCATGTGCCAGGCATTGTTCTAGGCACTTGGAATTTGCTATATTTGTGAAGCAAACAAAGATGACTGACTTTGGAACTTACATTTAGTGACATTCAGTAAATTGTTTAGTGTGTATTGAGTGATAAATGCTATTTAAAAAAAAAAGAGGATAAGAATTCAGTAGGGCAGAGAGTGGCTAAGGACAAGTTGCTGAGTAATTGAGTGAAGGATTTCTAGAAAGTGTAATCATTATATAAAGTTTTTTAAGAACAAAAAAAAATCTTTTTTGACCCTATGGCAAATTTAGCCGTGCTTACTGATATTTGCAGGAGAGAGGCTCTAGCAGAGAAAACAAGTGGTAAACTCTCTGAATARTTTAAATCCAGACTCTTGGTCAGGTGCAGTGGTGCATGCTTGTACTCTCAGCAGCCAAGGAGACTGAGGCAGAAGGATCACAATTTGAGGCCAGCCTTACCAACTTGCAAGACTGTCTTTAAAAGGTGTGGGGATGTGGCTTAGTGGTAGATCACTCCCTGAGTTAAACCCCAGTGCCATCAGGGGGGAAAAAAAAGTTCAGACTCTTACTTTAAATGTCCTAATTACAGTGTAGTGAGTGGTTAATGAGATTTGGGGAATATTTTACTTTGAGGGCTGACAATAGTCTGGGATCTTTATGAGTAGGAACAGGTTTTCTGGACATTCCAATACAAGTTTCCTCAATAGCGGTGCCAAAAAACTAAATTTAACAATTATGGAATCTTAGAGAATGAGTTGATGGGTCAGTCTGGGATCAGAGAATGGGATTGATGGTGTGCATGTTCCACATGCTTTGCAGCATACTGGCCATGTTTTCAGTTGACCTTAAATACTTTTAAAAAATACTATCCCTTTTGGGCTGGGTCATAACTCAACAGATCCCAGGCTTGGCACACTCCAGGGYCTGGGTTCAATACCCAGCACCAGTTAAAAAACAAGCCACTTTTCCTTCGTTTGATTCAGTTTATCTCATTAGTAAGAGATCTCCAGATTACTTGTATTGAATTATTTGTTGGCCACTTTTAGTAATAGGTAACTTTTTGTTTGTTTTTTGTTGTTGTTGTTTTGAGTAGACTGACTTAGAGCAGCTTTTCAGTAAAACTCAGTGTGGAAAATACAGAGCTCCCACACTTACTCCCTTCTACATCTCCCCCACTATCAGCATCCCCCAACAGAGTGGTGCATTTGCTTACAGTCCATGAATTTGCATTAATATTTCATCATCACTTGAGTCCATTCTTTCATTAGGTGCTGTACATTCTTTGGGTTTTGACAAATTTATAATGACCTGTCCAACACTAAATATTCAGGATTATAGAGCTTTATGCAGGAATATACTGGGTACTAATTCAAGGTAGTTTAGAGTTTTTAAATAACAATTTTGTAAACCCTTTGTGTTATAAAATCTATTTAATAATTCTTTTACAAGTCACTATGTTTGTTGTTTTCTTTTAGAAAATAAACAGAGTTGTCTTTGTTGGAAACTTTTTACGTGTCAATACTCTGTCAATGAAACTTTTGGCATATGCACTGGATTATTGGTCCAAAGGTCAATTGAAAGCATTGTTTCTAGAACATGAGGTATGGCAAAATGTTTTGTGCTTTCATAGTGTGCTTTAAGGTGTAAATTTGATATGTTGCTTTTTACCTTGCTATTTATAATTGTTACTTCAGTAGAAGACTGACTCCTTTACTTCAGTTTTAACTGAGGGATGGGAGTCCTGCTTGTAGAATTCGTGGGTATTTTGTTTTGTTAAATTGTTTGTTTCTTGATCCCCCATTAACGGTTTCCAGTCTAGGATATAGCTTATTGGAGAGCACTTTCCTAGCATGCAAGAGGCCCTGGGTTTGATCCCCAACACTGTAATCTGAGCAGTTAGCAGTCCATATCATATTTTGAGTTCAGTGAACTTCTATCTTTTTATAGTAATCAAAGACAAATATTGTATTATTATAAATTAACAATATAGGTTCAAAGTATTATGTGCTTATAAGCATCCATGTCTCGTCAGTGCTCTCACTGTACAGGTCAGAATGATATGATACACTCTTGTGCAATTCCATGTGTCGTGTCAGGTCCACAGGAACTTTGTTCATTGAGTAGAAGGGTTACAGAATTGCTTTATGGTGTTAGAAACTTCAGTGTCTAAAAGCCACACTTATTTCAGAAGTGTGTGTGTGTGTGTGTGTGTGTGTGTGTGTGTGTGTATGAAAATGCACTCTAAGAAGCTTGTATAACAATATGGCAATTGGAAATGCAGTTTATGGAACAGATATACATAAATATGGTTTTTAGTAAGTGGTTAGCATTGTATGGTAATTTTAAAGCTGCACTGTGTGTTTAAACAGTTTTTTTAAAAATCATACAGGGATACTTTGGAGCAGTTGGTGCACTTCTCGGGCTGCCAAACTTCAGCTGAAACATCAGAAATTTCTCTGCTAATGAATGTCATCCAAGAGGAACTAAAACCAGAGGCATTGTAACCGCATTATTTGTCCTTGGGAACCAAAGGATAAAAGAGTTTCACTATTCCTGTTAATTTTTAAAATGTCAGAATGGAAAGCTCACGAATGCCATATTAAAAGAGAGAGCTCTGTAACATGAAGTATTGTCGAAGTGTTTTCCCTTCTGTATATAGACAGTGTTCTTTAAATGCAATATAGCTGATTATTGAGCTTCCTCTCAGAAAGATTTTCTATTTATTTTATGTAGCCAGCATTGTAGTACTATATGCTCAAGACACGAATCTTAAAGTCTCAGAAATGTTTCACTTATGAAAAATAATTGATTTTGAATATATGTTTTGAATCCGTTTTATGCATTTTGATTACTAGTGAGCAGACAGTAATATACCCAGTATGAAAATTTATTATAATGGCAATCAGAGATGATGATTTTATGTGATTTTAGAAATGTTAAGGCAATATTAATTATTGTAGTTTTTCTAACACATCCTCCTCAAAAAAGCATGTTCTATGTGATCTTTGCCCAGAAGTATAACTTTCCTCAAATGCCATTTATTTAACTAAAATACTATTATTATATGTTACCCTGAATTTCAGAATGAATCTAGGAAAATGCACCTGTCTGGTGACATCACACTTTCTGTATTTTTAATTTAATCAACACATTGAAATGTTTGTATCTTTAAATTGAAAGTTTACTTATTTTGTAATCTGATGAAGTCCTTAGACTATTCAAATGGAATATGATTTGAGTGAATCAATGATTCTGTACTGTTTTTACCACTAAATTATCATGCCCAAAGTTAACACATTGCTTATTCAATATGAACAATGAAAGCTAAAGATTCTATTCTATTACAAACAACAACAGAATCATATTTATTCTAAATGGGTGTTTTCAAATGTTGAGAGTCTGAGGCAGTATTGCAGAATTATAAAATAATCAGTGTTTCCTACTTTTGGTAATAAAAGCAATTGTAGTTTAAATTTTTTTTAATTATTTTGAATTCATTTTTTTAATGTTACAAAAATTATCAGCTTTTACATTGGCAGTAACATTTTGGTGGCTCAGTAGTTCAGTGATSTTGTTCAAGTCTGTTGCTATCAGTTTGGAAAGTGGAAAGACCTGGGAGGATGATTCACCTCTGTACATTACCAGCAAATCTGGATGTACTTAGAAGACTTTAGATGTTAAATTTCAGGGTGTKAACCATGTGTTTTTACAGATCCCAGAGTTGTTCAGTAGACTGTCAAGAGATACTTCATAAGGATATTTTTCCATGTGCTTTTCACATTTTGTACTCAAACATTTAAAATTCAGTTTACCTAAAGACACAAACATGTGAATAATAATAGTGTTTGTGGGGTGGGCATGGGAAAGGTCTTATAATTTTGACTTTTCAGAACTTTAAATTCAGATTGCTCAGTAGCCATTCTAAAGATGTTCTGACCACATTTCTTGCTTTAATGTTTCCGTTGGCGTGACTGGCTGTTTCAGCTGAAATGCCATTGAGTTCATTTTAAATGTTTCTAATTTGGGTGTTTGTACAGATAAGAATATTCCCAAATGACAGTTACTACATTTTATACCTGTAGGTTTAGTGCAGCCTTTAAGAAAAAATGGGATGGTCATAGTGTTTAAGTTAATTTGATCACTGTACTTTGGTTAGTATAGGACCATGATTCATAACATTTTATCCTTTGAAACTGAAATTACCTGCTAAAATGCATGTGAAGTGAGCTACCATCTCACCACTATTGATCTTTGGCTTTCTCCATATGTAATATAGAGTAACTGGATTGATAAGGGGGAATGCACAAAAGTTGCTGAAGCTGACCTCAAACTTGTAATCCTACCACTTCAGCCTCCAATCACTGGGACTGTGGGCATTATAACACCATGACTGAATTAAACCACATTTTCTAGGGACTTTAAAAGGTAAGAAGCAAATGAAAATAATTTTGTGTTTTTATTTAACAGTATACCCGGTATGTTATTTCAACATGCACTCAATTAAAAAATATATATATATTTTTTTTAATCTTCAGTGTTCGAAGTCTGTGTGTATTTTACACTTAAGCAAAGCTCAGTTCAGACTGACCACATTCCAAATGTTTAGTAGCCACACTTGGGTAGTGGCCACTTTAATGGATGTGCATTTATAAAACTACCTCTTAAAACTGAATACTATCATATGTCTTTGTATGTGGGCATTTTAAGAATGTTTGAGGAGGAAATTTTTTAAATAGAGAGGGATTAAAAATAACTTGTTTGGGCCAGATTGTTTTACACAGATGAGCTGTTTCTGACCACCCCAGAAATATCTTACATTTGATATCCTGTTATCTCAGTATAGTATGATTTTCCTAATGGTACTGATAAAGCAAAGTTTATGATTAGGTGACTTAATAAACTATTTCATGGTTGACCTTGCTACATACAGAAGGTATAACTTTTTGAGTTTAAATTTCATCTTTAAAATCTCTAGATCCAGGTACGGTTGCTTGTGCCTATAATCCCAGCTACTCTGAAAACTGATGAGGAAGATTGTGAGTTAAGGTTAGCCTAGGCAATTCAGCAACTTCCTATCTCGAAAAAACAAAAAGCTGATAACTTTTTCAAATGCAGAGCATACTGTCAATTTGTTTTGGGCTTTGGTAAAGAATAGCAGATCTAGGCTAGAAATTTTGTCCTCTACCAGTCCCCCAGAAAGCATTTCCTTTTCTCTAGAAACTTTTATTAGTTAGAATTAATGGCTTTCAGTTCTATACCTAGACATCTCCAAAGACAAAGTATTAGTAGACTTGCCACAGGTAAATTAACTTGGCAGTTCTTTGCTCGGCCTTTCTAATTTAAATAGGAAAATAGGTCGGCTCTTGGTTTGGGTAAGTCAGTGACCTTGCCAATGATACACATGATTATTGAAGACCTGTCAAGAGAGGTTCCAGTTATTTGCTAAAGAGACTCTAAAAAATCCTGAGTTATAAATTTTTATCTTTGAAAAGTGCATATGTAATTGCTGTATTTTAAGTGCCAGTTCCTGGAAGACCAGTCCCGTGGGTGGAATGCTGGAAGTTCATGGGAAGCTTTTCCTCTTTTTCCAGTAGTCCATTACTTAGAAGATTGCATTCTTGGGTTTCCGGATTTCCTAAATGTCCTTTACAACCACTCTGTTAGAAACAAATGTTTTCATATTTGGTGTTATTGATCTTAATTCTGTTGAGCATTTTATGCTTTTTTGGTGTATTGCTTTTGAGAACTTAATGTAGAAAATTTTAAGCCATTGTAAAACCTGGTAAAAGGATAATGAAAATGAGTATATCATTTTGCGTTTAACTATTGTCTTGTGGTGTATGTAAACAAAATATTAGAAATACATTGCTTTTTTGTAATCATACTTTTTGACCTTTTTAACATGATTGCCATGAAATGTCAGTGGTGTCTTATTTCCAGCTAAGTTTGTTTATTCTGGCATGTTTTATTCTGTCACTGAAGAAGTTAGCCAACTTTCTGTCATCAGATAATCTTAGTCTGTATTAACTGCCAGTGTTCAATATTTAAGAGAATAATTATCTTAAATTCTCTACTGAGCCTAATAATAATCAGTAAAGAGCCTAAATAATTTTTTTCTTTTAAGTATTTTAATAGCCCATTCAAAATACTGAGGGGGTAAAAAGTGAAAAGCTTTTCTGCTAGGATGATTTCTACTTCTAAAAAGTTCAGCTGTCTTCTTAAAGTGGTCCTGTTGCTTGCAGCATTTGCATTATGTATTTAGTGGATGTAGAATCAAAATTTGGTAGGGTTTCAAAAAATTGTTCTAGTCACTGGTCTAACCTCTTGCAATTTGTAAAATTGGAGAATTGGGTTGTTGACAACGGGAAATGCCTCATTATCAGGATCCTGAGAAGATCCTTGCTTCCTTCATGGCAGTATTGGGGATGACTAAGACAATATTTTCAGATATTTGGTATTATGTTTTTGAGTTAATTTTTAGTGCTTACATAATATTTTTGTAATTGGTACATAATTTTTATTGGTACGTGTTGACAGGTATTAGGTTTGGCGAGAATCTCAAACCAATGAAATGATACTCTCATAATGTTATGTTACTGCCTATAATGGCTAGGTAGATATTACCTTAAAGTATACGAAGGGTTTATATATGTTAAAGTATGTGTATACACATTAATATGCAAAGGTATCTGGAATTTTTACTGTTAACTTCAAAATTATATGGGCATTATTATTCACTATATGAAAAGAAAAACATACCATTAATATTCATAGGACAGAGGATGTAGACCCATAGTACACATGCCTGGCATGTGTGAGACCTTGGATTCAGTCCCCAGTACTGAATTGGGAGGAGGCTTCCATGCCGTTAAACTCATAGATGTTGAAATATTAGGTATAATTGGGAAGATTTTTTTAATGATCCTCTTGAGCTTTTTGTAGTTGGTTGGTGGGATTTTGGTTTTGGTTGTTTTCTTTAGTGGGAACAAATGTGGATGAATATGAACCCTTCTGGATTCATCACTTTTGTCCAACACAATTCAGAGCAAAATTATAAATCAGGTTTGATTCTTGCCAAGTAAGTTGAATTGGATTACAATCTTCTCTACAGCAAATATGTTGGAGACCTAAAATACTTTGTCTGTAGAATTGTCTTGAGAATGACTAGATAGACATGACTGTGACATTCCTACTTTTCTATTTTAGAATAAAAGTGGCAGTGAGCTGACACTAGAGTTTCAGGTACTTCCGTTAGTTCTGAAGTTTAGTTAAAAGTTGATTTATTTTTTCTCATAAGAGAATTTAAGATATCTTGATTTACTTTCTAGCTCCTTTTGTAGTCAAAGGTTATTTTTTCTTACAGATCTTACAGTAGCAACTGTCATTAATTTTGTGTTTAAAAGAAGTAATGAGGAATGTATATTTCAACAAAGTAAGATTAAAAATAAAATTTTTAATTGTTTATGCAAATAATTCAATTCTAGGATATTGCTTTTTTTTCTTTTTGCTATTTCTAAGCATCTTTCGTATATTGCAGTACAAAAAGTTCCAGTAGCTTTCAAAGGAAACATTTTAGCTCTTACCTGATTTGTAAGATATATCCAAGAAATGTAAAATAGATTGAGGTAAAAAATCATGTCAGAATTTCGTCTAGATAGCCTAGCAACTCAGTAGTTACCACAGATATTAAGCCATTTTGAAGTTTGCCACTTTTTTCCTGAGTGGCCCCTTATAGTTTACAACATTTAGAAGGGAAAGCTAACTTTACAGACCTAACACCAATGTTCTAATCTCCTTGTTCCAAATATGATTAATGCCATTAAGCTGTAAGTAATGTTAAGATGGTTTTATCGTTTTTATACATTGTGCGCGTTTACTTTTTTTATTTGAACTACAGTGAACTCTGACATTTTAACTGAAGTTGAATGGCATTTGTCTTAATTCTGCTCAGTTAATGACCACATTGTATCTAGAAGACGTTTTGGGGACTGGAAATGTAGCTCAGTTGTAGAGCACTTGCGTAGCATTCAAAAGGACCCAGATTCAATCCCTGGTACCAAAAATAAAAAGCAGATGCTTTTATATTCCAGTTTAGGAAATTATTTAGTTTGGGGATTAATTGTACTTAAGCATACCATTTCAACTTGAGTTGCCTTATTCTGTCTCTCGAATTATTCTTGTCAGATCTAAGCTTTTTCATGKCTAAATTCTTTTAACATTGAATCTGTGATGTAAAAAATGTATGATGTGCTACAAATTTTATGCATAATAAACTAAGTTATAACCTGCTGTAACCTGTAAAACATTTCTTGTAAATTATGTAATTTATTTTTCCATTTATGTACAGTTTCTTATGTAAATTTAAAAAAATATTTGTTGTAGCCTGTTCTGTAAACATTCCCATACTCTTCCTTAATGCTTCTTTGCATGAAATATTGAATTTTGCGTATTTATTTGACAATAGCCATYAAACCAACTTAAATGTTTCTCCCTTTTCTGTAGTTTCTTTTTCTAATTTTGTTAAATTCTAAATTGTACCTCTTATGTCCTACTTTCCAAATAAATTCTCTTTAGTTGTTTACTATATGTATCTCTTTATTATTTGTCTTATTATATGTACTCCCACATTTCCTCTGTGATTAAATGTAAGGTTGTGGTTTTCACTGAAATTAACCATATTAGAATGTAAACTGAGAGCAAGGACTTTGTAAAGACTTGTTCGCCTCTGTATGTCCAGTACATGGTGCAGAGAAGCATTCAATAAATAAACACCTATTGAACAAATAAATTATAGTGTCCCATGTCTTTCTGGTCTGCCCACAAGAAGTAGAAGCAATATAGTTTGTCACACCTTTTTCTGGCATTATAAAGCACAAAGCTTAGTCCCTCAGAGAGTCRGTCATACCTTTGTGAAATTTTAAGACATTTTTAAGATGTAAATGCTTTTTTTTTTTTTCTTGAAGTGAGACCATATTGTCCTATAGCAGAAGTGAAGGTCTGCAGGAGTGTTTCAGGAAGTCTTGGATGGGCTCTTGCTGAGATGCCCCAACACATGGCCGTAGTTTGGTCTCAGAACTTTGGAAAGGCATTTCCTCTAAACCAAAACTATTACTTTAAACAGTCACTGCCTGTCAAATGTGAAAAAGGAAAGACTAATTTTTCTTAATATGTGAAGTTGGAAGTTTGTCCACTGTGTTTTCAAATTCAAGGGCTTTCTTGACTCCAGGCATACAAGAATGGTTAGGAACGTGGCATGTGAAATACATACCCTTTTTGTTAAAATCGTGTAAACAGAAATTAGGAAGCAAAAAAAAAAAAAAAAAGCTGGGTTGGGTTTGGTTTTGTTTTTTGTGTGTGTGTATTTTTGTCTTTGTGCCTGGGGATCAAACCCAGGTAAAGGGTCCTGGAGATCTTGTCTAAGGGAGTGGATGCTGTGACTAGATTTGAGGTGTCATTTAACTCCCAAGTATCAAGTACTGCAGTCAGTTGAAGGTAAACTACTAAAGAGCAAAAGTGTGCCACTACATGCCTAAGTGTAAGTGTTTCAAAATAGACATTGAATGTGAGAAGAAAAGTTTGGATTCTATCACAGACATTACTTTGAAAGGGAGCTGTTGTCATTGTCATTCCTCAATTGAGTGTATTGTGTAAATAAATGTTTCTGCATCTAAAATCTTGATCATTTCCTGTTCTACAAGTTTTATATATTTTTTCTTTTGTAAGCTGTTGCTATGTTTCTGGTTTGGGAGAGTTTGATTTTCCTTAAACTTTGAAAATCTGATGTCCCTGAGACTTATTTCTGTTAAAAATATACTTTTTTTTTTTTTAAAGAGAGAGGGAGAGAGAGAGAATTTTTTAATATTTATATATTAGTTTTCAGCGGACACAACATCTTTGTTTGTATGTGGTGCTGAGGATCAAACCCGGGCCGCCACGCATGCCAAGTGAGCGCATCTTCCCTTGCCTTTTAGTTCCAACCTCCGACCTCGCTGCCTCCAACCTCACTGCTTCTGCCACTGAGCTGACCGCAGTTGGACAYCCACTGGTACCTGAACTGGGTTCTCTACTGTGGCTCTTGATGGAACTTCTGATTCTCTGGGAGCTCAGACCAGCTCCCAGCTCAGACAGCAGCCTCAGAAACTCCAAGGCAACCCTTAGCTCTGTGTGAACTCGATTCTCAGCCACCTTGTTATCATCTGTTGACTGACAGAGGAAAACAGGAAGAGGGTGTGACATGCAGGACACTTACTCTGTGCCCAGCTCCACGCAGGTTTTTTCACATTGTAARTGTCTCCTTGGCCCATTCCCACAATCCAGTGAGGCAGATATTTCAGGTGAAGGTTCTCATGCAGCTCTGGTATTATGAACTGAAATGTATCCTCCAAAATTCACAAGCTGAAGCTCTAACCCTCAGCGTGACTCTATATGATGACAGGGCCTTAAGGAGGCAATAGAAGTTAGAAGAGGTCACATGGGTAGGGCCCTAATCCAAAAGGATCAGTGTTCTTTTAAGTGGAAGAGGCACCCGAGAATACCCACTCCCCCACCTCTCTCTCTCTCTCTCTCTCTCTCTCTCTCTCCTTCTTGCATGTCCTGTCCTGGGGAAAAGCACCCTGAAGGAAGAACCAAGAGCTCCTTCTGGAGGCTGAGCTGGCTCTGAGGAAGCCTGAGTCCCGTGCCCCAGGTGTAGCAAAGGCTCCTGTCACCTTCCCCTAGTGAAGGGGATTCCATCCCAGACTCCAGGCTCATCCCAGCTACTGCGTAAGCAGGCTGAACTGCAGAGAGGGTTTTTCAAAGCAATGAAACCAGTATAGACTTTAGTGAACMGATTTTGGAGTCGGTTTGACAGGGGTTTTATTTCTGGCTGTGTGCCTTGCTGGGGACTTAAACAAGTCATCTCATCTTGAACTGTGGTTCTTGCATTTCTTCAATGGGACTAGTGGTCTCTGCTTTGTAGAGCTGGAATGGAAATTTCTATTGTTTATGGAAAAGCCCCACTTGGGATTTTGTAGATATTTACCCCATTTTTCTCTCTTCTTGAGTCCATGTTGCCAGCAAATCTGACTGTAACTTTCTCCATATATATATATATTTATCCCCCACCCCTGGGAAATATGCTCTTGGAAAAAACAGATTCCCCATAACCTTGGCCCCAGCACATCTTGGGAGGGCAAACCACCCCCAAGTAATGCCCCGGTTAGCCATGATTAAATGCTGATGACCTTGGCAACTGGCTATGGGGATTTGGGGTGAATGGGTGGGGGATGAGCCAGGCTTTGGGGCACTGTTGGCTCTCCTGGCTTATTCTTCTGCTCCTCTGGGCTTGTTTTGAGAGCCAAAAACCCAATCACAGAATCTCTGTGTCCTTTGGAGATGGATACTCTCTGGGGGTCTTCCTGGCTGTTTTGCAAGCCCTTGATGATGTCACTTTGGGTATCTTATGTCCTGCCCCACATCCTGCCTCCTGCCTTGTATAGCTACCATGAAACCATGCCCAGTGAAGATGGGGTAGGGTAGGGGGGTCAATGAGGCCCAGCGCCCTGCTGTGTGTGTGTCCCAATGTGCACCATGTCATGAGGAAAGAACCTGCAGGTGTTGAGGAAATAGCAGTGGATTTGGAACCCCACAGTTCTACCCTCTTGCTGGCTGTGCARATCTGGACAACTGGTTTACCTCCAGAGACCCCTTGTTCCCCGTGTACTATGGAAAAAGTAAACAAAGTCGTCTCAGGGCTCTTGTGATGCTTAAATGTAACAGTGAATGCAAAAGGGCTCAGTTGAAGAGAATAAAATACTAAAAAGCAAGTGTGCCTGGGATTCTGGCTTTGAGTCAGACAGAACGTGTCACTCTCCCATATCCTTCTCTGGAGTCAGGCTTGGTAATGGGACTTGGCCAATATGAACAGAAGCACTCCCATCATTTCCAAGGGGAACTTTAAAAGCTTATTAATTTCCAGGCTCCCTTTCTCCTGCCCCTGTAATTGGAAGATGCATTTGTGAAAACAGGGCCCCGGAGAGTCACAGGGTGAGGAGAATAAGCACCATTCCCAAGCTGTGAAACACAGCTGTTTCAGGCCTCTGGGACTGGGAGATTGATTGCTATCTTAGCAAACTGTCTGGCCTCACTAAAGTGTACTGGGTACTGTTTCTTTATCCTGTTTAATAGAAAAACAACAAAACACACACACACACACACAAAAAAAAAAAAAAAAACATACGTAAGAACACCCCCACACAACAGTCCAGGGGAGACAGTAGGCAAAGCTTGCTCTGGCTGCTACTTGCTGCTGCTCTTGGGAAGGGGCCGGTAGACCCCGACGACCACAGCATGGTCCCTCTCATAAGGCTCCAGGGTCAGCTGCTCTTGAGGCTTCAGRTTCTCCTGCTGCAACTTCCTCACCTCAGAAGCAAACACAGCCTCTGCAGACGCGGTGGAGTCTATGCAGTTGGCTTTGATGGAAATGAGAAAGTGGCCCCCGTTGCGCAGGAACGTGTGGGCATTCAGAGCCACGATGCGCGACTGGTCTGGCTGGGCCACGTCTGCGAAGATCACGTCCACCATGCCGATGAGCATGCGGTACTTGAGCGGGTGCCGGGCGTCCTCCAGCACCGGGATGATGTTGGTTCTGGTCTTGGCCACGTTGACCAGATCGCGGCCGGCGCGGTGGGAGAACTCGACCGCGTAGACCAGGCCGTCGGGGCCGATGATGTCGGAGACGTGGGAGACGGTGGTCCCCGAGGCGGCGCCCAGGTACAGCACCTTGGACTTGGGCTTGATGTGGATCTGGTCGACCCCGCCCAGGATRGCCGCGGCCAGCTTGGAGCGGAAGGGGTTCCACGTGCGGTACTCCTGCTTCACGCCGTTCTCGGTCACCGTGACGCGCTTCTCGCCGTACACCGAGAAGCCGGGCACCATGTTGAGCGTGACCAGCGCGTCCTCCGCCCCGCGGTAGATGAACACGCCCTCGTGCCGGTGCGGCTCCACCGACACCGCGATGACGCCCTTCCTGCGGCGGCTCCTGCTCTTGGCCACGCCGCCGCGCCGCTGCCCGCTGCCGCCGCGGTCCCTGCTGTCCCCGCCGCCGCGCCCCCGACCCCGGCCGCCGAAGCCGCGCGTCCTCGCCCCGAAGCCGCCCTTACCCCCGCCGTCGCCTCCCTTCCCCGAGCCCCCGCCGCGGCCCCCGCCCCAGCCCCCGCCCCAGCCTCCGCGGCCACCAGACCCGCCCCCGCGAGAGCTGGCCGACTTCATGGCGCGCCCTGGGCACCCGGTGGCTGGCGACGGTGGTCACGGGTCGCCGGTAGCTCGGGAGGTGGTCAGGGGTCTCCGGTGGCTTGGGGTAGTTGTCCTGGTGGGGGACAAAGGTGGGTGGCAGCGGTCGTCCTAGCGATCAGCAGCGACAGGGACCCGGTGGGCGGCGGTCCCCGACCCGCTCTACCGCAGTCCCCGCATCCCCGGAGCCGCCCTTTGACGCGGCGACTGGCGTGATTGCATCACACCCGTTCTGCCGACCCTGCAGCCCCGGAAGCCCCCCTTCTCCACCTGCGCGCAGACGCAGCTGCTCATCTGTAACCCTTCGCCTTCCCCCTGCCTCAGCCTCTGCTTCCTCGGGGACCCCTGGTACTTCCCCTGGCCACCTGGTCGAGGGCGTCTCTGCAGCAGGGAGGGGAGGCCAGCATAGCCCCAGTCCTGGTTCTGCCACTTGCCTGCTGGTCTCTGAGGATCTTGTTTGAATTGGGACAAGTTTCTTGAACTCTTGGGTCTCATCATCCCATTTGTAAAACAGACCGCACCACCACGAGGGTTGTGCTGTAGCTCGCTGTCATTGAACCCCCACCACGACACGTGCTAAGTACTCTGTCCGAGTTAGCTCTTTTGTTGTGTTTTTAAACATTTCTTTTGGTCAGTCTTTTCATGGAGGTATAGCCTACAAACCATAAAACGCACCAATTTCGTTTCGTTTTGAATAAATGTATTGCTTTTTAAAGCTTCTGCCACCGCAGAGTGGCATGTCTCTCTTAGACATCTTTGGAAGGCACGCAAATAGATAGATTAGTGCCAGACATTGAAACAAGGTACCTATRCTTGTCCTAGTTATTCCACTTTGAAAGTTTTATCCTCCTGAAATGGTCTTTGCCATTAGAGCCACAGGGTGAGGATGGGGGTGGCTATAGCAGTGGTGATGGTGAGCATTCTGGCAGTGGAGGGGAGATGAGCAGGAGAGGCCTAAAGCAAGACACACTAGGAAGGTAGAATTTAGAGGACTTCTGACACATTGGTTGTGGGAAACCCAAAAGGAAAATTTAAAGCCAGATAGTGCCAAGGCGTCATGACTTCTGGGCTGCAATTAAGAGCCTGAAAGCTGCAGTTCTCCTTGCTCTCTGTTTAGTTCTGTTCTGTTCCATCCATTGTGCTAAGTCCTAGAATAGGTTCTGGGAATACTGATCAACATTATCTAATGCCAATTCCTCCATGTGAATGGGGATGCACAGACTGTACCCCAAATCCCTTACAAGACGCTTCGTTAGAATCCAAAATTTCATGATTATCCCTGAACTACTTTAGTTTATGCTTTGAAAACCGGCTTTTTCAGAAATTTTGAATGTCTAAGTAAGTCACAGAAGATAAATCTCAAAAAATTTGTGATTAATTTGGCTATAATTGGTCAAAAGTTATTTGAAATTTAATGTACTGATATGAAGCAAAGTCTGAAATATCGATCTCTTTTCTATTAAGATAATTTTTTGTATCTGTTAGATTTTGTTACTTAAGTAAACTGAGTCTTAAAAAAAAAAAGAAAAGAAAACCGGCTTTTTCAATCTACACATTTTCTTAAGCATAAAAAAAAAAAAAAAAAAAAAAAAAAAAAAAAAAAAAAAAAAAAAAAAAAAAAAAAAACCATTAAGCAGTACCAAGGACAGCAACAGAGCAGAGGCTTTAGAGTTTGGTCAGCACCAGTGACAGCGACTGCAGTTGGAATCTTTTGACAACTGGTGTGTGAGGTGGTGTAAGCACATATTAGTGGAACTGAGTGCCTCGTTCAGAGAGAAGTGTACCTGAAGACCAAGGCAGGTGTCAGGCAGGAGTATTGAACACTTCAGGTGTGCACACTGTCAAGCTCTTCTTCCATCCTGGTCCTCAATTCTTCCTGTCTCACACCAGTGGACAGCGATACTGGGTCTACTTTTTCTCTGAGGACTATATAGCCTCACCATTTAAGTTGCCAGGTTGGAAAGTTATGAAAGATTGGATGCTGTAGTCTTGAGGCAAATTTCTACTACTTAGGAACACCTCCATGTTTGCTCTTATGGTCTTTCAAATGAGGAAATGAGATCCACCCTATTTATTGGGCATTAGCTCCTATACATATAATTAACTTTATTGTGCATGATAACCACATTTGCATTCAGAGAAACAGATTAGTGCCAGATTAAATAACTGAGCATTAGAACATCAATGTAACACATAAACTATCACAGAAGCTGTGTATGTTTGAATTATCAGACATGATTTTGATACACAAATTTTCTGTGTTTTCCTGCCTGTGACTTCTAATAGAAAGTAATTTTTAATGTATTTCAGTATTTTTCATGACACTACTTATCTACTAGTTGCATCTTAGAAATGTGAGATGAGTATTTTAAAAATTAGAATCTAATAAAGTTAAGCATTTTGTTGTTGTTGTTGTTKTTTGGTACCAAGGATTGAATTGAGGTGCACTCGACCACTGAGCCACATGCCCAGCCCTATTTTGTATTTTATTTAGAGATAGAGACTCACTGAGTTACTTAGGGCCTCACTGTGCTGTCTTTGAGCTCATGATCCTCTTGGTTCAGCCTCCCTAGCTGCTGGGATTACAGGCATCCTGTCAAGTTAAGCATTTTTATTTAAAAAAAAAAAAGAGGCAGGCCCAGGACTGCCCCCACTGATCTGCAGACCCACATGGGAGCCCAGGCCCAGGTCAGGCCTGGCACCACCCACGGCTTACCTGGGAGCTCAGGCCTAGCCCACCTCCATCTTGAGACACTGCAGCCAACTCCATAGCCCTCCCCACGTAGTAGCCTCCACCTTGCGACAACAGACAGGGCCTAGAAGCAGCTGCCTCTTGGAACAGGCAGCCCAAACCATTGTAAGGCCCACACTTTYAGCCCCATCTCTGAAAGTGGTTGCATCCATCTTGGGACACCCCCACTGCTATCTTGAGTTACCTCCACTATTGCCACCACCACCTTTAGTTTCAGTAACATCCATCACAGGACACCAGCCAGGGTCAGGAAGCCCAATGCCAAGGTGAGGAATGGGTAATATGCATGGACACTACAAGATTATAGGGCAAAAACTGTAATACCTCAGATCCTCACTGAAAGGAAAACACATAGACAACATGAAAAAATCAGGGAGAAAAGTGCCCCAAACAAACCAGGATACTACAATAACAGAACCCATGGACAGTGCAGATGATGAAATGTCAGAGAAGGAGTTCAGAATATACATAATTAAAATGATCTGTGAATTAAAGAATGACCTAAGTGAGCAAATACAGGCAAAAACTGATCACTCCAACAAAGAGATAAGGGAGCAAATACAGGTAGCAAAAGATTTATTTCAAGAAAAAGATTGAGATTCTGGGGGAAAAATAATAAATACTTGAAATGAAGGAAACAATAAACCAAATAAAAAACTCAATATAAAGCCTCATCAACAGACTAGATCACTTGGAAGACAGCACATCAGATAATGAAGACAAAGTATACAGTCTTGAAAATAAAGTTGACCACACAGTGAAGATGGTAAGAAACCATTAACAAACATACAAGAATAATGGGATAGCATCAAAAGACCAACCCTAAGATTTATTGGGATAGAAGAAGGCACAGAGATTCAAACCAAAGGAATGCACAATCTCTTCAATGAAATAATATCAGAAAATTTCCCAAACATGAAGAATGAATTGGAAACTCAAATACAAGAGGCTTATAGGATGCCAAATGTACAAAATTGCAACAGATCTATACAGAGACACATTATAATAAGAATGCTTAGCATACAGAATAAGGGAGGAATCAGATCACACATAGTGGGAGACCAATTCATATCTCAGCAGATTTTTCAATCCAGACCCAAGCCAGGAGATCCTGGAACAACATATACCAAGCTCTGAAAGAAAATACATGCCAACCAAGAATCTTATATGCAGCAAAATTAAGCTTCAGATTTGATGGCAAAATAAAAATCTTTCGTGATAAACAAAAGTTAAAAGAATTTACAGCAAGAAAGCCCACACAACAAAACATCCTCAGCAACATATCCTAGGAGGAGGAAATGAAAATCAGCAATGGGAAGAACTAAAGGAAAGACAAATCAAAGGAGAAACCAAGTAAAGTTAAAAACCAAAAACAAACCAAAACGTCTAGGAATACAAATCATATTTCAATAATAACCCTGAGTGTGAATAGCCTAAACTCATCAATTAAAAGACATAGACTAACAGATTGGATTTTTAAAAAAGACCCAACAATATGCTGCCTCCAAGAGACTCATCTTGCAGAAAAAGACATCCACAGACTGAAGGTGAAAGGGTGGGAAAAATATACCACTCACATGGACCATGTAAACAAGCAGGGGTTTCCATCCTCATATCAGATAAAGTGGACTTTAAACTAAAGCTAGTGAAAAGAAATAATGAAGGATATTCATACTGCTTAAGGGATTCATACATCAACAAGACACAACAATCATAAATATTTATGCCCCAAATAATGGGTCATCTATGTATGTCAAAGAAATCCTTCTCAAATACAAGAACCAAATAGACCACAACAATAATACTGGGTGACTTTAATATATCTCTCTCACCACTGGCTAGATCTTCCAAAATAAAATTAATTAAAGAAACTMTAGAACTAAATAATACAATCAATGATTTAGACTTAACAGACATAGAGTATTTCATTTATAATCGAGTGAATACACCTTCTTCTTAGGAGTACATGAATCCTTCTCTAAAATAGACCATATGTTGTGCCACAAAGAAACTCTTAGCAAATATAAAAAAATACAAATACTACCCTGCATTCTATTTGACCATAATGAAATGAAATTAGAAATCGATGATTAAATTAAAAACAGAAGCTACTCCAACACCTGGAGACTAAACAATACGCTATTGAATGATGCATGGATAACAGGAGACATCACAGAGGAGATGAAAAATTCTTAAAGGTAAATGAGAACTCCAATTCAACTTATCA